GTTTAGCTTATTGCGGAAAACCCGATTATCAAATTGCAGGTTTCTTGAATTTCCCGAGAAATAGAAATAGTGTTTAGGAGGTCGTCTACTTCAACTTACCTGTGATTCAACCTACCGTTCTGGAGTAAGATTAGTATAGTCCGCGGTGCGAAGCGCTGCGCACACCTTCAATTTACATGCCGAACAGCTTACTCCCAGCGGCCACGGAAAGCAACTTCGACTACATTTTATTCACTTTACACTTACTTCTAAAAATTTCCTTCTCTGCCTGTCCTATTTCCCCACCCCCAAAACTCTATATCCACCGTTTTTGCAGGACAGAATGCTGAGATTAGGGGTATATGAGTGGGCCGACATAAACTACTTTTGCCCAAATACTTTTAGCAGCTTTCAATCTGCACCTATAGACCCTCAAATAAATTGATTTACTCCAAGCCAATAATTAATTTCTAGAGAAATTAAAAAACAGAAATTCCGAAACTGGAGTATCTACCAGAAAGCACACCGCGAACGCTAGGTAACCCACTCATAAGCCGAACCCCTCGCAGCTGTGCCAAACAGCACCACCAGCAGAATATCAGCAATCCCAATACTTCATATGCTTTATACAAAAATGCACTCAATATCGCTAACTTCTGATCTGGCGCATTACTCTCGCCAGCTTGCATTGGCTCTCGTTAAGCAATTAAGGAAGTTGAAATCATCAATTTTTTCCCGTTAGTTTCACTTTACACTCACCGGGTTGCTTCGAGCATTTAGACTGCAGATTAGACCTTTGTTGCTCCTGCAACTATATCACAAATTATGATACAGTGGCGCTTACCGACCAACTTGCGGGACATGCTCATTCTGTTGTGTCTTGGGGTCCGATCTAGAACCCTCGTAGGCGGCCGCATAGAAGCCAGTAGCATATGCAGATAATGGATAACGGACTTGCGGCCCAAGGGTAGAGCGTCCGACTCAATGGTCGAAGATCCCAGTATCGAATCCCAGGTGCCCCACACCTGGGCTTGAGTATTACTGGCTGGCGACGGCTAATAAGCCAGAGATGGCCCTTCCGGTGTCCCTTGTGTTCGTTGCTTCTAACATATCATTATATACCACATGTCGCTGGGCGACTTCCTGCGAGAGCTCTAAAGTGAGCTCCAAGACACAATGGACACATGTTCCGTAAACAGATCGTGAGCCCCACACTCATCATATTTCCGATTACAACCAACAAAAACAAAAGGCCCGTTGTTCAGTGGTAGAGTGTTACACTCACTGACCAGTAGGTCGCGGATTCGGATTTTGGGTGAGCCACACCGGTTATGACGGCTAATAAGCCGGAAATGGCTATTCCAGTCGCCCTTGTCTGTCGGTACTCTAGTAGTTGATTAAACTTCATTCTACATCTCTTATTCGGTTCGTGTTTTCTTGTGTTGCTTGGGGCCAATCTCTTTTTCAAAAAAATATTCTGGTGGGCTTTCTGATCGGCCAATGTTATACGCACCTCAGTCTAACATTTACTTCTCCAATGCATGTTATTCTCTTTTCCGTTGTCATAATAAATCGTCTGGCCGGAAGGCGTGTAATCCGGTTTTTTCTTAAATATCATTCGTGCACTGTGCACCTAGTTCCCATTAGCCACACAATTGTGATACTTGCATGCCTTTACCATAGCTGTTAAGGCCCTTTTCCAGATAGTTCGCCTATCAATTTGGGAGAATTACTATTTCCTTTTGATTGCCCATCCAGACAATCATTCCACTTGGCAGACTAGTTCTTTGAGCAAGAAAATAGCTTTTTATCACCTTGGTGGGATGAAGAATGGTGTCTGTCTGCGTTACATGCCCTTTCCTTCCCCTCTGTCTTAACCTTTCCCCTTCCGTGGCTAAACGTGCATACTGCCTCCTCGACGAGGCCGAAACAG